CCGTCTCGTGGATCGAGAGGAATTCAGACGACGTTTCCAGGCTAATCTGTCCTTATCACGCGTGCTCGCTCGCCGAAAGAACTCCCGACAATACCGAAAAAAAAGAGCGAGCTGGCGCGCCAACCACAGGAGAAATCGCCGTCTCGATCGAAGCGCGTCAAAAACGGGGACGACAGTCGAACTTGCATTCTGATCTGCATGCTGGGAATCGATCGCGAGGCCACCACGATCGCTAGAGTTGTGTGTCGGTACCCAACATTTTGAAGACTGGAATCGGGTCGGAATTAAGTCTTGTAAAATTTAATTGCAAGATTTAATTCAGCGTGAAATTTTTAATTTGCAACGTGAAGGATATATGTCCGCATGTTTGTGTACTTTCTATTAGGATTGAACATTATATATGTAATTAGTATTATTATTAAAATAATAATAATAGTAGTAGTAATAGTACTAATATTAATAATATAATAATAGTAGTAGTACTAATATTAATAATATTAATAATATTACTACTAATAATATTAATAATATTAATAATTAATAATTAATAATTAGTACTAATAATATTAATAATATTAGTACTAATATTAATATTAGTAGTAGTACTAATATTAATAATATAATGGTAATAATAATTAGTACTAATATTTTTAGAAAAAGAAACAAATCGATTAATAATATTAATAGGATACATTCTCAAATTCTGAACAAAAGTAAAACTTCGAATTATACCTATATATTTTGTATTACAAGTTCGAAATTTTATGCCGAATTAAATTTTTCATATCACGGAAATTTGGCCAAACCAAATTTGTCCAACTTTTTCCGATTAAGCCCCGAAATATCGAGACATTAATCGATTTTTTGAATGGATCAGAAATCGGGTTACCAAAGAAAATCATACTATTTGAAACAAGTCGGACTAACCGGAAGAATTAGGCTATTCGAAAGAAATCACCTACTTAATCACTTTTCGATTTGATCGGGCCACTAACTGGATATTGTCATGAACACTTTATGCAAATATTCGATAAATCACATGATGCAAGTCAGTCGGTTGCAATTTTTCGTGAGAGAGTTTACTGTAATTATTATCATGAAACATTTTTTGAAATATTTTAAATTGTGAAAGCTTGTCGTAATATAGAGAACAAAATTAATTAAAGAAAGGAATGAATATGCGTGAAATACACGAAGAACATATTTAAAATATTCGAAACATCTGAATTTGCAATTAGATGAGAAGTATCTCTGCTTCAAGTCTCAGTTTTGATTATCTTTATAAATATATGAATTTCCATAAAGACGACAGTTCCAGCATCAAATAATCAGGAACACAATTTTAATCGACGAGTTTGCAATGTATCGTGATTAATTATTCCGAAATTAAAGTAGAATTTGAATTGTCCGAATCAATCTTCCCAATTCTATACGTTCACTCCACTATCTTTCGAAAGTTCATCTTCGAAAGCAAATTATCTTCTCTGTTCGCCTTTGTTCGCGTCCACTGGAACCACATACCCACCCAATCACTACGAAATTTTGGTCTCCGCATGTACGTAGAGCGCGACAGTATAGAACGATTACTTTGATGATTGCACGACTTGAGATCGACAGAGAAGGAAAAGTATTTTTCGTTAAGCGAAAAATTCTGGCTCTTCCTTTCCGTTTTATCATTGGCTTCCTTTCTCTCGTGCCACTGGTCGCCCTCTAGTCCCAAGCTCGGCCGATCTGCGCATTACACTTTCATGCGACATCGATCGTTACTCAATGTGTGTATGCGTGTGTGTCTATGTGAACGTGAATACGCGAGTATGAATACTCGAAAACCACGGGGAGATTGGAACGGCAACGAAATTCGGAACGATACAGGGAACTATATCTTGTAATGGCTTTCGTGACCGATCGGAACGACCTGTGCGCAGCATAATTCGATCGATCGGTCACGACAACTGAATCATTCGATTAATGATCAATGATCGTACAGTGGAGAGGCAGTGAGTTAAAAATTGAACATTATTGATCTATCGTTCGGTTTGATAATAAAGTTAAATTATTTAACCTCTTGCGCTGGAATGACGTGCCACGCGCGTCGAGAATTTTTTATTCCAAAATTGCAATATTTTCTCGGGTTTAAGTGTGTATAAGATAAAACGAAATAGGCAAAAACAAATATTCTCAATAATTTCTATCTAGCGATATCATATCCGACGTGTTCGAAAAGAAAGCGACGAATTATTTTATACGGTCTGGTCACTCGTTATGGTCCGCAATCAGTTGCCAGTAAGTAATCGTAAATTAATTTCAAAGAAATTTTTAAAACGACGACTAAAGTCCGAGACAACGACATATTTTTTCGTCGAGATATCAAAAAATTGAGGTAGCTACTAAAAATTTAAAACGCGACGAATTATAATGGAATCGTAAATCAATTTCAGGTTGTGCGTATTTTTGGTTACTGCGGCTAATACTCGAAACGCAATAATTGACAATGAAATGTTCTCGTGTTTCGCACGACGAAATGTTCGTTATTTTTACAACGGAAGAATGAAACTTTGATTTAATCGATAAACGCCGGCGGCTCTGACATTATCAACCTCCTGCCTTTTCGAAGTAAGGTAACTAGCACGATCATTAAACGCGGAGAGAATAATTTCTTACGCGATAAACTTCGCCAATATACTCACAAAATGTAAATTCTACGTAGAAGAATTAAAAAAAAAAAAAAAAGAACAACAAATATTTTCTTAATCGTCGTAACGAAGGTAGCAACGTTTTAAAGGAAAGAATTTTCAATACTTTACAAAACTCGCTGAGACCGCACTTTGTACGAATATCCTGCAAAGTTCTATTTTCCAGGAGCATTTCCGCAATTTTGAAATATACAGACCGCAAGGAAAGACCGCAAAGAAATAGAATGATATACTTTGCCACGGGATTACACGTCGCTTTGTATTTAGGTAGCCAGTAAATCGCGTCTCTTCTTTTATTTAAAGGAATAACCATAAGCAACGTGCTGTATCTCGTTGGATATAAAACAGTGGTAGAAAAATAAGAGATATTTCTGTACTTAACTCTCCATTACTAGAATTTATCAGAAAAAGAGGATTGCTAATTATAGTTGTTGCAATTTAAAATTTGAATAATTTATAATTGAAGAATCTATGGGGGAAGAAAGGGAACTATCAATTTTAGTGAATTTTGACATGTGCTCCTGCGTGTCTCCTCTTTATTATTAGCTCTGTTATTATTGCCAATTCAAATTTTACATTTACATGCGAGTTTCGATCATTAATATAAATTTTCTGACAAATATTAAAACTCTTTTCCATTGTGATTCTTTCATTATTATAAACAAGATATTCTTGTAATTCATGTATATCTTATCGATGAAAAATAGTAAAACAATTAAAATAAATAAAATAGTAAAAAGAAAGCCCTGAGGACACATAACACAATTTTCAAAACGTGATATTTTAATCCTTGATAAATTGCTGGCAAGTTATATTTACCACTTGTGTTGCTCTACATTATAATTATACACACAGCAATCTTTACTTTAATCGTTCTTATATACAACAAAGACCAATGTAGATATCAATATTTCAAAATTCAGAAGATTTCTGACAAATACACTCATCGTGCGCATAATCCAAAAAAAAAAAATGCGAGAAAATTTTTGACAAAACGATCGTACTACTGTAGAATTCAAAGAAACGATGTTACAGAGGGTTAACTTTCTTGATCAATCAAGCTTCAATAAAACAATAATTCAAGGCCGAAATATCCGTTTGATTGATAAGGCAAGAGGTTGAAGACGTCGAAAGAACGAAGGTCAAAGAAAACTCAATAAATCGCCCGATCCGGATAAACGATACGTTGCGTAGTATAGAAGGCTCGATTAAGCGAGTCTGTCGTCTCACATGGCGATCGCGAATCGCAACGAATCACGGTTGTCCAACACGGAGCTCTCCGTGTGTTGCTAATCGAGCAAGACTACCACCGAGAATATAAATCATATCGATTAACGATCGTCGGCCGATGAGGATATAAATCGTCTGGCTGCAATCTGTAAAAAATCGCGGATCACCGGCGTGATAAAGGCAAGCTCGTGCCTTTAATCACGCCTAACGTAATTTATATCGGTGTTTCGAAATTCTTTTTTTTTCCCCTCACCTCCTACGTATCTTTCTCCCGCGTTAACGACGACCCTGAAAACGGTATAAAACTTAGATATTCGTCGACTCTCACCATGGCGCGTCCCCGTTTAATATGTCAGAGTTTACGCGTTTCCCTGTGTTATTAAATTGAAAAATCGCGAGAAGGAAAATGGCGATGTAAGTCGAGATATAAATCAATTTTTATGGTAGTAATTTTATCGTGCGAATTTTTAAGCGAATTTTTTCAAGCGGAAAGCTTGGCGGTAATGCATGTAATAGGCAAAAAGTACAATGTTCTTAGAACAATTTTCTGTTTTGGTTCCGTTTCTTAGACCATTCTCATAAAAATATGCAACTACATAAACATCCACCATAGTTGTAAGTCCTGTTTCTGGTTACTAAAGTACGTAATCATCTAAAAAGTCGAAAGGAAACAAGAACTTTTGTTTCCAGTCCCTTCCTTGATAATACATTTAAATTTAAAGTTATATATTCTTCCGTAAAACACGGAAAACACAATTCATCGCATTCTTCTGTAGTTAAAATTAATCTCGTTTAAAGAATTTATAAAAATTGGAAAAGTGGAAATGAAGAATGAATCTTATTTTTAAAATCTCGAGCCGTGTTGGTTTCAATCTCCCAGTGATTTTGTTGCTTTTTGCTTTGTATAATGCTAATGTTCCTCTTCCTCTCTCTCTCTCTCTCTCTCTCTCTCTCTCTCTCTCTCTCTCTCTCTCTTTCGAATTCTTTCACACGTACACACACACTCTCTCTCATCCTTTTTTGGTTCGTTTTCCTTACATTCTCTCTGCCTTTTGGTTCGTATGGTTGATGAGTTACCTGACTGCGCTTCTGGTACAGCGAAACAGAAAACAAGAAAGACACACCGCCAGTTGGCTTATTTCGATTTCGGCCGGATCGAAACGACGCCAAGTTGTTTCGCCCCCAAGTCGTTTCTTCGAAAAATGACCAATCGATCATTCGACCACGTCCTACTTTTTTTCTCGTTCGTTCGTTCATTCGTTCGTGCTCTAGCGAAGCTACTCGCAGACAGCGCTGAAAAACTTTTCGATCTGTCTGTGTCTGGTTTTTTGGTTTAATATATTCTTCGATTCTGCTGAGCAGATAATAATTCTATGAATAATTCCATGAATACTGAATACTCCGCCGCGAAATTTCCAACGCGGTTTTATACCTACGAATTTTTCAAATAAATCGTCTGGAGAGAATCTTTATGAATGATTAAACAAGTTACGATGTTGACTACGAATATTTTATGATTCACATTTGGAATTCGAGTGTCCTCCAAATGTGTTCGGTAATTTGTTAAACTGAATGGTCTGCAATTTCGAAATTTAGCATCAGAAATCTACTTTCATACAGGGTGATTCACGTAACTTGCACACCTGAAATAACTTTTAAATTATAATGACTAAATTGTTTAGTACAAAAGTTGTGTGATTTTAAGGGAAGCAGAATGTAGCGTATCAATTTTTTGTGGGTTTCGAAATTTTCAAAGTCGTCTTTATTTTTTTTTTTATCGAACGATATATTTTTTCGTCATAAATTGAAAGAACATTAAATTCCAGGTAAAAAAGTATTAAGCTACATTGATTCCAAATTTATACGTACAAAATAGATTCATATTCGCAAAAGAAAATGGAAAAAAGAAAAATTTACCAATCAGAACAATTTTCCAAACGAACGAAAATTTTGTAATTAAACCTAATCCAGTTTACGAATTTCCTAACCGAGATAATTTCACGAACGAACGGAGGAACGACGAGGAATTTTTGACTCCCAACTACGAATGCGCTGATTAAAAAAGTCGACGAACATTTAAATACGTCTCCTTTTTTTTTTTTCGAGAATATCTCCTAACTTTCTAATTAAATTAAAAAAGTTTTCGAAGAAGCTCTGACGAGACACCCGGATGTCGTTTCTGGTCCCCGCAGGATCCACGATGATTCACAAGCCCGCGCGGCAAGAAGAGATGTGCAGAAGAAAATCAAAGAGAGAAAAAAAAGAAAAAAAGGAAAAGAAGTAAGGATGATTATTTAAGAAAAAAAAAGGGTTTCACGCCCGAGATCTCGACGAAGACCAAGCATGAAGCGATCGTTTACAGTGCGTGTGCAGTACGCTGCGATCAAGCGTGAAGTTTACGAGACTCGAAACCGTGAAACCGGACTCCGACGACGTGGCGCGATGTCAGGGATGCTCCTGGCATCCGCGGAACGTGGATCCCAGACGGGGACATTTCTATTTATCTTTGGCGTACCCGAGGATCTTCTCTGGAAAACGCCAACCTCCTTCTCTTTCTCTCTCTCTCTCTCTCTCTCTCTTCCATTCTTCCTTTACCTCCCTTTCGAACTTCGAATTCCAATTCACTCGCAGATCCTGTATTATCGTTTATTTTCTTTCGTAATGACTGTTCTTTCCTCCCTCTCTTTCTATCCCGTGCTTCGATAAAAATTTCGATTCCTTCGGATTACAAGCAGAGCGTGCGATTTTTTTTTTTTTGTCGAACTAATATTCTCTTTCTTGATCTCACTGAAATTGATAATTTGACGTTTTATCTCGTTCTTTCCTAAATGACGGCTATACTATCCTCTCTGCTCCGCGTCTGGAGCTGTTTGATTTCATTGAATTACATAGATGATGCGGGAATTTTTATTGAATTAATTCCTTTTTTTTTTTCCTTTCTTTCCAGGGTCTTTCCGGGATGTAATATTCTCTCTTTTATACGTTTCATTTTATTCCCTTCGAAGCGATTATTCGTTCTTCCTCCTCTTTTCTGTATCTAATGGAAGTTCAAATTTACGAGTGAAACTTTATTGAATGAAAGGAATTTTCTTTATAAAGTACAAGAGAGTAGCACCAATTGTGAGAGAAGATTATCTATCAATCATTCTTTTCTAATCCTACTTAAAATCTTTTACTACTGAAACACCCCGACAATTTCCCTTCGCAACGTCGTAACTTCCAGGTCCTAAGAAATAACGAAATACACGAGGCAGCCTTTCATTCGAAAGAAACGATTCGGCTAACAAAGGGTTAATATTATCCTTTCATAAATTCTCTGTTGCTTTTCCATTAAAGCAAACCTACCAGAGTACAAAGCTTCGTAAAAACCGATATGTTATGCTTTTTTAACGCTCCCCTACTGACCCTCGATATCGACTCGACGAAACAAACCACCCTCTCTATCCGTACGGCAAATTCCTCGAGAAATTTACCAGCCCCGATAAACCACCGCGCTCGGTATAAAAAAAAAAGAAAAGAAAAACAAAAATACGAGAAATAAACCGGCTAAATTCCATCTCTCACCCTTTCCCTCCCTTTTCCTCCTTTTTAACTCTGAATTACTAGACATTCCTCGCGGTAATTAATATTTAACGAATATCGGTTGCCCGAGGCTCGTTCGCGTTCGCAACTATTTAAAACGCGCGTACTGCTCGCATATTACTCGGCGCGTCGCGGTCGGCTTGAATAAAAGCTCCGGACGAGCCCCGGAGCGAGACTCCGCGTTTCTTCCCTCGTCCTTTTACAATCCTCGCGTGCTCGTGCACCCAACAGAAACGAACGATACGATTCCTTGAACTGATTACACACCGGTGGATACAGCACGCGCAATTATACGTCCGGTTGATCGGTTCCACCGGCAGGGGGGAGGGAAAAATACGCGCGACGACCGCGCGGCAATTAGAGACGCGTCATTAAACGGTCGGAGTATCGTCGGTCAATTAGCTGGTATCGCTGATTACCCCGTCGAACGATCGTTCCGTTGTAAATAATTCGAAATGGAGAAGACGTGTTCGCGCCTTATGTTCTCGGTTGGAAGTGGCCAACTATCGTACGCTAATTTTTTTTTTTTCGTACGCCTTTTTTTCCCCTGATTAGCGAAAGAATTTTAAGGATCAGGCTTTTAGCGTGGTGATGGTGGAATGTTACTTGATTCGCTGTAATTGCTTTTATTTCATACAGTAACTCACTGTAAATATAATATATAGTAGGTTTATAATATATAGTAATATTTTGTGATGTATAATGTATCGTGCAAGGATTTTTGAAAGATGTAAACTTGCTTTTTCTATTCATTGAAGACTTAAGAATCTGCATCATTAATAGTTTAGAGATATTTTTCGATCGACGTAAGAAAAGTATTATTGATTAAGTTTCTTTTTAATTAAAGTATATGCTTGTTTGATGAAGAAAGAACAGTCAGCGATGATTCTATAACTTTTAACAATAAAAATCAACAGCAGATCGAAGTTACATTTCGCACATAAAAATCACTCAATCTAATACCGTTTAATCTTATCTCTATTTTACAACACATTCATTTGATAGCAAATTTTGCATTTCATGGCAGAAATGGAAGAAGAGATATTTTCTTCTACGAATTTCGTGCCCATTAATTGAACGTCTTTCAATTCAGCGTAATTGTCATTTGCCTGATTTTGTTTTCTAAACCAACAATTTCCATGTTTTCCAGAGAACTCCAGCATAGGCCAATCAACGTCGACGAAAATAGGAGAACCGCGTCGGTCGTTCGATTAACGTTTCTCTTCCTTTTTAACATCGTACTGTCCATCGATCGCGAGAACGAATGGTGACTTTCTTCCCGTTACAATGGAAAAAAAAAAGAGAGAAAGAAACAACACGATGAGGGGAGAAAATCGAGGCGAAACGCGTTCCGAATGTAATGCGTTCGTTCGTTCCCTCCGGAGACCGTAGCTGGAATGGAAATGACGCTTAATGATAGAAAACATGTTTCCTCCCCCGCCATTCCCTGTCTTCCGATTCTCATTCCCGCGACGATCGCCTACCAATCGAACTGAAATCGAATCGCCCGCAGCCATTCTATTTAATAATTCACAAACGACAATTTCATCTACGTTTATTCAATTTCCCCAATTCGGGAACTAACAGAATTGAAAATTCGTTTTTCATTTCTTTCTTTTTTCGCTAATATATATCGCGTAACAATTGAGCAAATATATATATATATAATTTTCACTTGTTATCACTAGAATGTGAATGTTCATGAGAAACAGAAAGGTGTGAAAAATGCAGAAAACATTCCGAAATTGGTCTTTTAATCTTTTCAAACTCAGACTCCATGAGTTTTTACGAATTCGCATAAATATCCACAGTCCAGTTGTCATTCGAACAAAAGTATAAAATCGAATGACTTCTCAATTTTTCATAGCAATATTTTAAAATCAATTTAAGAATCTTTTATACTGTTTGTGTAATTGCATGAAATGCATCGTTTACTAATAAAAATAAGAAATCAATGCATCACTGAGAAAGAACGTTCACTTGATACGTTCGTCTAGATTTAATACGCAAAAGACGCGAGTTCCTTTATTGCTCTCATAAATCGTATAGATGAAATTATCTCATTTATTTAACACTGAGATCCGTCGCGGGAACGACGATGGTGAAAATGAAATAGACGTGACAGCTGTGCTGAAGCACAGGAAGCACAGGGTGTCGGTGATATGACGATTGCCAACGAGTCTGCTTAGAGAAGATCTACTATAAGACGGCCGTCGTGGTACCTAGACATCGATTGCGATCCTCTAATTTAACGTCATTTTTCAATAACATTACCATGAAACTTTCATCTAAAATTCAAGTTAGAGTTACCAATTCAAAGTAGAGTTATCTAAATCGATATTTAAAAATTGATGGTTTGCTGTTGGATGTAGTTTTAAATTCAATTCATCCGACACATTACGTTAGCTGCAACGATCATTTAATATTTCGCAAAACCATGACTAAAGAGATACTCCACCACTCGTTCAGTTAAATTTAATACAAGATTAAATGTAACTTTATCTTCAATTGTTTGTTAGTAGAAAATTATCGAGAAAACTATAGCTTGAAATACTTGCTATTCAATGCCAAAGAAGAAGACTATATTTATATTCAATGCCAAAGGAGAACAAGAACGATGCCTTTGAAAACGACTTGAAATTTCGCTTGAAATGAAGTTCTTTCTTTCACTTTTTCAACTTCGTCGTGACTCGCAATCGAGAGTCGTCGGACACCACGCGGCGTGAATGGCGAGAAACGAACGGCAATGAAAGTCACAGTTGTCGAAAGATACCTCGATCTTGAGGCGCGAAGTACGGCGATGGAGGTAGCCTGAAGGTACTTCGGATCTCACCTGCGTCCTTGCCACCCTTCACGCAGATCCCAAAGCCATGGTGAGAGTCCGGTGGATCTCTCGTCATGGTGATTGTCCTTACGGTGAGCTCCTGTAGACTCAGTGGCTGAGAGCTCGGTGACGTCGGAGGATTCGCGGGATTCGGCTGCGACTGCTGCGACTGCTGCGACTGCTGTTGCTGCTGGGACGTCGACGAGGGCGTGCTTCGAACCGCGGCGACACTCGCCGGCGAGGATGCCGGCGTTCTTCTGTCGCCCTGTCGACGCTCCGACACACCGTTCCCAAAAAGTCTACGGTGAAATTTCGCTCGTTACTTTCTGCAAATTTGTCTCAGTGATTTAGCTGGCAAAGACACGAGTCGTTCGCTTCGAAATTTTACCGAGGATCGGATGCACGATTACAAAGAGATTCCATTGCAAATTAGAAGATTAGACGTGGGTTCATTTCAAATTAAACACGATTTGTGGCTGAACTTGTTGAATGAATTTCTAAGTTGTTTAGACTGTCCGATCGATTCAAAATCTATTTTCCTTTCCTAATTGGCTGATCGAATATTCCATTAATTCCACGCTTTAATCCACTGGGAATAAAACCACTTCCCTAATTCACTCGTTCGAATAAACTATTTATCCAGTCCAGTTCTTTTGTTTAATAATCATTGCAATATTTATTTAATAATAATTTATAGAAACGGTCATCCACTTCTGTTAACGTGAAAATTTCTATAAACATAAAATTGAAAGTTTATAAAGACAGTACAGTATAAAATTTCCACAAATCTATTCGCACTCGCAAGAACTGATATTAACGTAAAAACAAAAATTAATATTGTTAAATCTTCATTCTCAATTTAATTTCCGAAATTTCTGATTGAAAGAGGACCCGGTTAATAGACAAATCTGTAAAATCTAAACACCTGTTCCGTAAAAAACTTTCTATAAACATAGTATTAAAAGTTTATAATGACGATTCAGATTTTTTTCAAATTAACTCGCGATAGAAACTTTCCACAAATCTACCTGCATCTGCGTGAACTGATTTACTAACGTAGAGACTAAATTAACGTAGAAACTAATATCGTTGAATTCTCGTTCGCAATTTAATTCCAAAATCTCTGATTAAAGGAGGTTGACAGGTTGATGAAGAAATCTGTCACAAGAACTGCAAAACCGAGAACGTACCTGAGCACCTGTTCCGGTGATATGGCACCAGAACCTCCGGTGGCGTGTCCCCTGTGCCTGTACGGTGTGGTGTGCGAGGAATGGTGATGAGGAGCACTCGGAGGTCTCTCGACGATCGTGTAACTCGTGCCCGGAGGGCTGTAATATCCCCTGTGCTGACCACCATGATGCCTGCTGGTGGGCTCTAAATCCTCAGCTTCGTAGCAACCGCCGGTGCCGCTTCTCAGGAAGTGAGTGCCGCTGCGCAGGAAATGCGTCCCGCTACCGCCGCCCCACTGCAGCTCCTGTAATTCCGACCCGTAATCCTCCGTGCTACTGGCCATGCCTTTGGGATCCGTTTTGTCAGACCTGGGCAAAAAGATCACGCGAACGATGAAACACAGTTTGAAACACAAAGGGAATAATACGCAGGCTCGATCTAGATTCTTTGCGCAAAATTAAACTAGAGATGGACGCGTGTCGAGAATTGTTAAAATTGGGAAACCTTACGGCGATGTTTTGAAATTTCATTGACAGCGTGACGAGTAGACTGCGGATGTGTCTATGCGAATTTCAACTAAATTTTATTAATTTCATAAACTTTCTTTCAATTTTATGAATATAAACTAAAGATGTATAAAATATTACAACGAATGCTACATTACAGTTTGTATATTTGAGCATAGCGATATATTAGAGTTGCTCCTATCGTATTTTGGTCTCTGAGATCAATCTAAAAATGAATGTAGAAGTCTAATATGTATTCTATTCGATTATTGTTTCAATCTTTGGCTACTGCTATGATCGAATATCGTTTTTCCATTAAAACTTCCATTAAAATTCGCTAAATTTTTCGTTCGCTGTGCGCATGCAATGGACACGAAGAAATAAAAAAAAGTGTTGATGATTTTCCCTTACATTCAAAGTTTCTGGAAAACAAGTGGGCAAATTAATCATGTGATGCAAAAACGAACGAAATAAAGCTCCAAACGAGCTGCTCGATTCGTTGAAGTTTCCTTGGTGTCAAAGAGACAACTCTCAAGATTATGAAAATACAATTAGCAAGCGTCGTGTTAGGGGTGGGGATTAATAATCAAAGCGACTCGGCGGAAGATAAAGAGGGCCACGACCTAAATTTCCTAGTTAGCAACTGCATCGATATAGAATGTCATAAATTAATGGAGAATCGAGCCTCTCAGGAGATCGCGCGGACGTTCTAATATTCACCTTCCTGTGCCATTCAAATATCAAGCCTAAGTCGATCTCGCCCTTTGATCTGAAACCTCTCGTGTACAACTAAATTAACATTGAAATAACGCTGTGTAAAAAAATAAATAGAGATCAATCAGACCCGAATTGTAAACTGTCATTTTCTAAATACGAGCAGTAGTTGCGTGAGATTTGGTAAACTGATGTATTAAAGTACAGAATTTTCCAGAGTTTAGAAGTCAATGCATACAGAAAGTTTCAGTTTCCTTCGTATCGCAATATCACGAACGCTACTTCAAAGTCACTAATTTTATCCTGTCGAAATGAACGAGGAGTTTCTATTCAAAAGAGACAGACAATAATCAAATTTCAGTCTCTATTTCGATCACTCTGCGCCGAATATCAATTTTCAATTTTCAAATTTCCAATAAAGGAAGAGAATTTCTGTACAAGATAGACTCGGGGCTCAATTTCAAAATAGCTCTTTCACTTCTGTACCTTTCACCGTATTACCGCGAAACGTCCAATTCCACTTTTGGTATCTCGATTTCACGGAACGTCTGCCACGTGCCAAATATAAACAGAACCTAAACGTTTTCAGAAAATTTATTTCAGAAAATCGATCGATACCTTTGCTCGGCGTAGAACGACGTAGAGCGACCGTGAAACGACTTCACATCGATTGATATTAACGCGTGACTAATGGAACAACGGAATTCGAGGCGGGATAAATGCAATTATCGCTGTCTATCGTTCCTGATAAAATCTGTACGTGATGGCGGGAGGAGGGGTGATTTTCCATGGCAATGTCGTAATCTCGGGACAGGAAACTGACTGTTATCGCCGGAAGAAATTTGAAAGTTCGGCCTCCCTTACTTGTTCCTGGCATCACCGGCTCATGCAAACCCGCCCACTCGTCGCCGGCGATTTACACTACCCCATTGAAATTCCTCCCTCGTGACCGATAGTCCTCCTTGGCGGCATTTTCACCACCAACGGGGAACAACTTCCGCGACATCGTTTCAACTTTCGTGAAATATTGTCGTTTCCCCCTGTTGTTCGTATTGTTAGAACGACGCCAGATTTTCTGGCCAGGCACAAATGCAAATTTTTGAAGTCTCTTCCTTCCCGAGATTTAAATATATCGTAGGCGCGGATTAAAAGTGGATGCGTCGATGGTTCTGGTCCTTTTGAATTAACTTTTGAAGCTTATCGTAGACAAAATTTCATCCCACGTTAACATCCTTTTAATACACGCGATGTTGTCTACTTTTCTTTAAACGAATGAATTTCATTGGAAGAATTGCGTCTGTTTGACTTTATTGAATATTTCTGAAATGAAAGATATTCGCATTGAGGGCGAAGTTTTATCGTACGCACGTAGAACGCGTGGGAAACTTCGAAGAAAGAAACAAATATTTCTGCCGGGCACTCTCTCGTTTGTCGCTTTTCATTGAAAGAAGGAAACATAACGAGATCATAATGCTCGTTTCACATACGAAGCATCAAAAATGTTCGTAAAATCCAATCCGTTTCGTAATCCCCTGTTAAAGTATTTTATCATTCGAGCACCATCGACGTGATGCAGACTCGATGTATTATAAAACGATATTAAACAATACACGCGCGAACGATATTTCGCATGTTCGTACGAAATGCACACATAGTTCACGAAAGAGTGGGGAAAGGAACACGATAGAGAAGTTGCGCGGGAGTCACGTTTTCGTTTCATCTATCGTTCCATCTTTTACCTTGATATATTGCCTTATTTCTGTTGCGTTTCGAGTTTTACGACGGAATACGTAATGACCGGTATCGATTCTCGAAATAACGTAGCGATATTGGTTGGACGTTGTAGCCTTGAACACAGCCAGAACAGTATTTCTTGCATGAATTGATGTTTCGTAATGATCTATCAAACGGTACTGTGTTTGAATACCTTACGACGGAGTATTTCGTTTCTTGCATGCTTTCGCTTTTTATATGCTCTATAAGATATCCATCGTATTTCCATTAGATCTCACATTTCATGACCGCATACATTATGGAGAGATGATCGGCCGAATATCGAATTAACGTTTTTCTACGTCGAATAACAGCTCTTCACGGCTCCCTTGCAAAAACATCGAATTAATATTGAATTATTTCGAGAGAGCAATCAAGCTGCTTGCGAATAATTTAACGGGTGCTTACCATCCCGTTTAACTTTTTCGAATCACATTATAATACTTTCATATTACCTAATTGCACGTTTCTTTATCTTGTTTACCATATACGAGCGAAACAAGCTAGCTGTGAGTTAAAATTATTATTAATAAAAGCGCTACAATTATAATACTATTTAGTATGCAATGATGTTATTTCTAGTTAATTTTTTTATATCCCTCATTTTTTCTTCCACGAGAATAACAGGGATTAATTTATGGTAATCGTTAAAATGAAGAAGATTTAATACCGCAAACTACTTTAAGTGTAATGTTACAGCAACATTAATCCGTGCTTCAGTATCAATTTCCTCCTCTTCATAATTTCCTTTACTTTCCTTCACTCTTCCTTCCTTCCTTCCTTCCTTCCTTTTTATCTTTCATTCTTTCTCGTCATCTCCTCATTCTAATCCTTCCACTCTTCCCTTTCTATCTTATCATCTACACGTCCTTCCTTTTTTCCCTTAATTTCATTCCTTTCTTCTTACTTCTTTCCTTCTTTTTAACCTTTCTTCATTCACTCTCTTTCCAATATTTTCTATCTATCTTTCTTTCTTTCTTCATTTATTTACTTCATTCTTTTTTTTTTTATATATGGGGGTTTAGCGTCGCATCGACTACGAGGTCTTTAGCGACGTGTCGAAATTGACTCTTTATAACTGGTCTAGTAGTTAGGTCTTCTTTAGGTAGTCGATAACGTTTTTTTGTTGTTTCTGGCAGGTTAGAGCGGTGTTTTGGTTTAATCCATATTTACTTCTTATACTTCGGTATTTTCTGCATTCACGTAGTAGGTGCTGGGTGGTGATTTGTAGGTTGCAGGTGTTGCAGAAAGGTGGTTCTGTTTTGGTTAGGAGGTATTCTTGTGTGATCTTGGAGTGTCTAATTCGAAGCCTAGTCATAGCTATCCTTTCTTTTCTGCTTAGATTGTTGTTTGGTATTTTTTGATAGAAATGGTGTGCTATGTTGTGTATTTTGGTTCTATTTGTCGTAGTCCAAATTCTGTTCCATTCTTCTCTTTCCGCTTTGGTCGTTGAAATTAGTAGGTCTTGATGTGGGACTGGGATGTTGATTTCTTTTGTTTGGTCGATTGTTGCTTCTTTGGCTAAGGAGTCGGCTTGTTCGTTTCCTTCGATTCCCTGGTGTGACGGGATCCAGGTGATTATTATATGTTTGTGGTCGTTAGTAAGTTCGGTATATGTTTACTTCATTCTTATTTCCACTTTCGTTCCATCTTTTTCCTCGCTGTCCCTTTTTAATTCTCCTTTTCTTTTTTATCCATTGTTTCTTCTGCTTAGTTAAAAAATGGTACAAGAGGACATGACGTATGTACATAGTCTCCTACTTATTCCTACACAGGCAGTTTGAAATTAAAAAGAAAACTATACGACAGGGCGGACTGTATTCACAAGAGGTGTTCATAATGTTTAACTGGTCTTCTGTTACGAAACGAACTTCACTGTCAGTGAAGATAAGCGGGAAAAGAGTACGAGGTAATTCCGCCTTCGCTGCTTAAGAGGTCAAACCAAATAAGAAGTTCACGATGTTAAGAACTAGCATGCCCCGTGCCACTGTACACATCCATAAATAGCGTTACGAACTAGCGCAACGAATTATCAATATTTGCTGCACATCGACGTCCACTAAAGTTGAAACGTCGAGGAACTGTTTGTCTGCCCGGTCGATTTCCAGAAAATCGGTCATTAAAATTACGAGAAAATTTATAACTCATAGGAACCTTGTAAATTGTAAATGAAAATGAATACTTTGAAATTGTAAAGAAATTCACACAGACAGCGTCAAAGTTTTACAAATGAAGCTTGAGAAGGAATAAAGGTGATACTTAAGAACCAGAAGTAAAAGTTGTAGCTGAACGACATTACAATTTCACGTCACAACTTGGACAATTTTCCCCGCGACGATGCTGTTCCAATTTTTCATGCATTTCTTCGACGTGGT